ACGCGAGTCACTCGGAATGTAAAAATTGAGTAACCAAAATTTTAAAACCAATAAAACAATGTTAATTTAACATAAAGAAATCTTTGTCGCGTTAACGTAAAAGTAACTTAAAAAATCTATACAAAATGTGTAAAAGTAGTATTTTCCTTTAAACTAAACCTGTCTACATAGTCAAGAAACCTCTTATATCAACTATTAGTTGAAAATTTATAGTGTACTACAAATAATTTCTAATCCATTTTAATTAATTCTAAAAAGTAATTTTCATGAGATCCAAATATGAACAGTTTTATTATGTTTAAATTGCTTTAAAATTAACTTAAATAAAGCTTAAATAAACTCTACAAAAGAACTGAAATAGTGTGTTTTTAAAAAAATAACAAATTTAACTGAAAATGCTGTAAGAATTTCTTATTCCGCTTGGTATAAACCAACAAAGTAGTTAAGAGTCACTCGTAATTCGAGTCAACTCGAGTCACTCGCAACTCGAGTTGTCAAAAATTTCACTCGAGTCCGAGTAAGATAAAAATGACTCGAGTCACTCGAGTAAAAAGCAACTCCCATCACTACAGCAGGTCCATCACATCACAGTCGCGTCGCCGCGCCGTACGGAGCGCTTGTCTGCGCTGCAGACTGTTAGGTTCATCTAACTTTACGTAAAGTTTAAGTTGAAGCAGTAGTTACCTACCTACATAGAATTTGCAATTAGTTCTAAATATTTTGTAGTAATTTATATAAACGGTGAAGTATTAATGTAGTGGTAAATATGATGTCAAACAACTGTTTTTATGTGTTTTAAAACATCACAACATGATTATCAAATACAGACAGTTTTTTATGTCCAAGTTTTGTTGTATTTGAAAAATTACTTTAGTAAAATGTTAATAGAAAAACATTATAAAGTTATGACTAAGCGTAAATGTTGTGTCGTAGGTAGCGGCTATGAATATCCTATAAAAAGGATAAATTGTTGTAAACAAGATTTTACTGTTAGTAAACAATACTGAGAGAAAAGTCGAAGGAAGCTGAAATGCGAGTACAGTAGCTACTTAGGGCGAGTTTGGACTACCAGTGGCGAGCGACAGTAGAGGCAGTAGAGGCAGTAGTCACGGTTAAACTAAACTGTTTCATACATTTCAATTGTAAATACTTAATTCAGCTTAAGTTAATGTTGTACATGGGTGAGCAGTGGGATGAGCGCTTCGCTTATACTAATATTATAAAAAGGAAAACTTTGTTTGCTTGATTGTAATGAATAGGCTCAAAAACGACTGGACCGTTTTATAAATTCCTTCACTATTTAAAGCTACAATATCCACCAGTAACAAAGGCTATATACTTTTCTCAGCTTACGTTGCGTAAACCGTTAGAGGTAAATAAAAATGACGTATGAAGGAATTGTAGATCTCAAAAAGTTTTACAGAAATGTCCGCCATAACATATATCTTTAACGGTTTCCTTACAATAAACTTTTGTTTACAAAATGAATTAAGAAACGCATGATATGTGTGTCGTTGTTTTTTTTGTTCCAATATTAATCCATATCCTAATAAATGCGTCTGTTATCAGGAGAATTTAATGTAGAATAAAATTGTCCTTTACAGTATTTAAATTGGACAAATAGTTAAGAAGATATTGCGAACACAAACAATAGGGGTAACCGAAAAATCAGCAAACTAACAGGCTAAGAAATCTGGAATCTTTCATCAGTAGATACGTTAATACGTAGATTACTACTAAGTTAATAGTTTTGGAAATAGGTTGTAAAAAGGGGCGAACGTAAGTTTTGAACATTCACATTTCACGCAGGCGAAGTCGCGGGCAATAGCTAGTAAATTTATAAGTAGGTACCGAAGATGAAAAACAAAATTGCGTTAAAATAAAAAAAAGTGAATTTGCACTTCAGAATGTGTAAATGTAAACGATTAAACGAGATGTAAAAGTTCACTTGTAGAGTGTACAAAATAAATCAATGGCAGTTGTACCATTTAGTGGACAGAGTGTCAGTGTAAGTGAGGCGGGGTGGTGCGAGTGGTGCGAGTGGTGCGAGTGGTGCGAGTGGGGCGGGCGCGGGGGCATGGTGCGAGGGCGCGCGCGGCGGCGGGCTCATGAGCGCGCGACTCGTGCTGAACGGGCTGACGGCGGAGCTCGGCGGAGCGCGCGCGGCGCCGCCTGCCTCGCCGGAGCCCTACCACGAGCTGGAGCTATACCGGCAACTGCTGGCGCTGCCGCGGCGCGCGCGCACGCCCGACCCGCCAGCGCCGTGCCCTGGTACGATCCTAGTCATTTCTTCATATGCATATGAACCCGAAACCCGTCTGTGTTATTATGTTGGCTCCTTTGATACATATCCAGACGGTGCGAGTTGCGTGGTCCGCTGCGGCTGCAACAAGTGGTGTAATAACTGTATCTTATGGGCAGATGCGCCAGCGCGGCGCTGTCGCACGCCGGCCGCGCGCCCGGCGCTCCCCGCACGCCCCGCACGCCCCGCACGCGCCCGCCAGCGAGCCGTGCGCCCCGCTAAGGTAAGCAGTAAGTAATTATTATTATTTAGTTACTGATCCAAATATTGTCTCGACATATTAATAAACATAACTCCCGACGCCGATTGGTTGAAAGATGAAACACAGGGTCTTGTTTTGAATGAGCACACTTCAGAGTCTTGTTATATCGCTGCAGGAGCCAGCAGCTACTTGTTCTAGGTGGCTCCTCCTGCATTCAGGAGTGTAAGAAAATACACATAACAAAATTTTCCATCAACACTCTGACTATCGGTCGGTGTTGGGGAGTCTAAAACTTTCCATAACTGTTAAATACTTCGAAAAGCCAAACATTGGATGATTTATGAAGTCAATTTGGAAAGCGACAGATTAGAAAGTTGAAAGCCGAGCTTACTCCGAGTTGCCGCAAGTTGCCGACAGTTGCCGACACCAGGTGATTGATGCAGAGCGAGAAGACCCCACGTGCATGATTTCATGTTATCTACTGAGCGACGGATGCGCGATCTTTTTTTGCAGTCGCTTGTTTATAATCACTGGCACCAACGTTACTCCAATATTAAACGTTTAGTAGAAACTGGCCCTGATGTAACATATCAGAGCAGCTTTCACTAAGTTCGCATTCCTTACATCTTGTTTGTTCATGAAAAGCTCGTAAAATAGTTGAACTGGTATAAAAACTTCAGTGAATTATGAAAACTGCTGAATTTTATTAACTAAACTTCTGATTGGTAGAAACTTTTGCTCGATCTGTACTGTCCTTATCGCCTGGAACAATATGTTTCGATCACAACACGACGAGAGTGAAAATGACTGAATACTGCCACATTAACCTTTTAGTATTCACGTGAGAGCCGCGTGACGCTGCAGACGGCACACGGCGGGGAAAAGCGCTATGTCAAAATGCTATTTAAATTAGAGTTGGGCTGCGAAGTGTCGGCTCGGGCTCCGGCTCCGGCGCGTATGCAAATATCTTCTCCATTTCAATATCGATGTCTCGCGTAACATTGTGATGGTCGTTATTGAAATTGTTCGTCGCAGACACGAGCTGTGATAAACAAAAGTACAATAGCTTACAGGTACAACCTGCCACATACAAATTTCCACAAATCTTTGTCGAGTGATGTGCAAGTTGCTGTTTCATGTACTAAAGCCAGTCAGGTCTGGTCAACTGATAAATGATATCTAATCTTAATGAAAACGGTATATTATTGTCGGACGCGGCTGCACGTCGCCAAACTCTTCTTCAAATTACTTGAACAAAACGTAACGCCGCATTGACACACTTGGTGAGTCCGACAGTGTATTCGTGCCGCGTCGTTTCGCACCGTTTGGGAGCACTATGAGGGTATTTGCAAACGGGACTATTTCACGAGGCAATATATTCCTCGCAAGTTCCCGTGATGTTGAGTTATGAGCGACATTTTCCCTTTCTGGAACTTTTTTATTGTCCTCTTATTCGCTTCTCTTAAATTTTTATTATTTCTGAATTATAATTTTGTTTATCTGTTGGTTCATTCAAATATGATTTTGTCATGACGAATACTAATAGGTGCGACGTATGATTAATGAAAATAATTCAAATAAACAGCAGTAAATCCTAAAATCATCAGTAAAACTTAAGTTTCACTAAATTGTCATGCTTATGTTTTTCATATATTTGTTTAAATAATGTAAATACAAATGATGTTATTGTAATAAGTATAGATGTAATCGCCTGATTATTCACGCTTATCGTACTTTGGAGTAAATATAGGAATAACCAAGTAAATATTGGCAAATAGACACAGATCACTTAACTTTTAGGACTTTTACCACAATTAAGTACATAGTTAGGTTAATCTTAGGTTTATACCGGAGTGTGAGCTTTTACATTAACAAATTTCTCTATGATGTACCCCATCTAGTAGCATATAATGTAACGGCAGTGCTCGGCCGGCAGGGGGGAGGGGAGATAATCGGATTCCTTTTTAATTTCATCTGCGACTCGTTGCGGCGGCACTCGGTTTGTCTTCTCAGATATAATGCGATTTATGCATAAGTAAAGAGTACAGCACATTGTATTTTTTTTAGTTTGTTACTACATAAGTATACGAAGTGTCGAGTATTCGACTGCACCTGTCGTACATCGTTTACGTATGTAGCTTATGTATGTCCGCTCGTGCGCGCCATCTCGTGGAATTAAGAAGTACCCTCTATGTCCTCGCAGACTATGTTCTACATCTTTGCCAAATTTTATCGAGATCCGTTCAACAGTTTAGGCGGTAAACTCTAACATACACCAATCTACGCTCACACTTATATCATTAGTAAGATAAGCAGTAAGAAGTAAGATTAGGATATTGTAACCGCTCCCCCTCGCCCCGCGCCCCAATCCCCGCCCCGCACAGCCAGCAGAGACGCCGCTGAATATTTATAAGCGGCTGCGTGTTAATTGCCTCGTCTGCGGCATCCTGCGACCTGCGACCTGACTCCAGCTATCAGTACCTACTTTAGGGGACTCTCAGCACTTTAACGTAGTTACTTTTGCCTTCGTTTATAGTATTTACCTCGAAAACGTTAACAATAACATATTTTGCCGTTTCCTCAAATGCCAGCAACGCATTTGTAGTTTCTCTGATACTACGGATGTCCTAGATGACGTTGATCGCATCGATATGCCTGCAGCTAGTTGATAGAGTAGGTATTAAAAAAAATGCAGATAAAAAGCAGCTTTTTATAGACTTACTCTTACGTTACTTCTGACTCATTACAACCGCCGCACGCACAGGGCAGCTGACATCGGGCAGCCCTCACATTTGCGCTCAAAGCGGACCACAAGATCCACTTCACAGTGACACGACGCAAACGCCTCGTGAAAGGTTCAATAAATGCTTATTCCAGCGAACGTTAAGTGTCAGTTATTGGGTGTCTACGTGTTGCCTGTAGTGACGGCAGTTCATGTAACTATTATTTTTTTTATTACTCTGATATTGGAGTTTATTTTGTAAAACTAACGTCTGCATAATATTACGACTGCATTATGTTTTTGGGATGGACTCTTTGTTTTTTGGGGTAGTAGAATAAAAACGGTTTTGCTGGCAGTTAAACGGTTTAGTATAAATATGCAAAAAGTAAAAATAGGTAACGTGTTGTCGACGTATGGTTTAAGGGCGCGCGGGGGATGGAAGAGTGCTAAAAAAGTCCCCCCCGCGCGGCTTCTCCGCTGAGGTGCAGGAGCACTGAACAATTATCATCTGAGGCGTTATAACCACAGTTAGACTTCGATTTGGTCCAGTAGCTTCTTCTATTTGAAGAGATCGCGTCTTCTGCATCTGACATCACGAGTATTACGAGCTGCTCGCTGTCGTGTGTGTGCGCGAGAGCGGCGCGTGCTGCAGAGGGTGAGGGTGAACGAGGGCGAAGGCCAGAGCGAGGCGAGGCGAGGCGACGGCAGTGGCGCAGCTAATTGCAATGTTTCCGCGCCTCGCCCGCGACCTCCCTACCGAAAAATTGTGTGCTGATGAATCCCTCATAAGCACGTATATTATTTTTTTAGCAATTTCCTGTTCTCAAATTGTGCTGGAATTATTTCTCGTTCAGAAAATATATCTCAGAAAATTTATCTACTCGGAAACTAAGTTTAGGTAAGAAATAGACTGTTTAATTTATTTCGTAGAACAAATTATCCAACATCATATTGAATTTTTTTTCCGCAAAAATAGTTTTAACTGAATATTGATTCGAAATAGATGTTTCTAATTTCGAATCGATTGCCACGAATCAGTCAGGGGAAGCAATTACTTACGTAGATAGAACTACCATAAGGAGAAAGTTGCGTTATATAAGAAGAAATATGTCGTATTTGTGTATCCTGCATTACATAAGGTTACGTTCCGCAGTTTGAACGCATTTGTCCACATTCTGTCTGATATGAGCTATATAGGATAAAATTTAATTTGATCATATTAACAAAGTGCACAAATCGTTTGCGCGGCGTAGAGCGGCTACGGGCTGCTACGCGGCGGCTCCGAGCTCGACAAAGTGGCAGTGGCGGTGCGCTTTCAGTGCACAAGTCATCACACGGATCTCACATCGCGCTACAATTTTTTGGAAATCAAGTTGCACGTTTATTAATAACACACAAACGTAAACAGAGAACGTACGACTACTCAGTACAGTACAAAGCAGCTGAAAATAACTAAATTACCTATTTTCAGTCTTTTAATTTTACACAGTGGTAGAGTCGCGCCCGCTAGCAAAGGGCGCGCGTCGCTGAAAGTACTGCGACAAACAATGAAGCTTTCTCAACTTTTCTTCTTACTCACCTCACTACTATTTTACGTTTTTTTTTCTTTGACGTGGTGACGTTGTTTTTGTTAATGTTTTACGAGTGCTGTCTTTGTGACGTCACAAGTTCTATGTTTTCCGTACATGTAAATATTTTCCTAAATGTTGCTATTTCCTATGTGTTTTCACCCAGCCAGCTTACACTTAGGTAGGAGAATTTAAACCGTTTTCCCGGGATGAAGTGTGCGGTCGGCCGCCGGGCTCGGGCACATTCCTGACATAAGACACTTATATAATACGCCTATTGTTATAAACTTAATTATAGGAAGGTCCTTTTTATAGAATAGAAATGTAGTTAATAAAATGAATTGAATTGAATGCTAGAACGGAACGCGTAGTATCTAGTAAAATATCGTAGGAACAATCAGAAGAATATATTACAGTAAAAAGCGATCTGTATCGTCGTCTCATTTCCGGCGGCAAAGTGTCCGCGTGCCGCCGACGGCTTCGGCGCGCAATGGCGACGCTAAATCACTCGGAGATAAACTCCTTTCTAATAGAGTCAATTATTTATTTCTTTTTTTACTAAATAGAAATAGTTTTTTTGTATTATATTAATACGTAAAGGGTAGACTTTGTATCCATGCAAACTAACGAACGTAAAAAAAGTTCATTGATTACTAATTACGAGTATACTAATAAAACATAAACATGATTATTCTATGTTATAGAAACAACATTAGATATTTATGGGTGAA